CTGGGAAGCCCTTTTGGAAGTTTTGTGAAGTTATTTGAAAAGTGGAAGAGTTATAGCAAAACAAGATGGGGCTAAAAAGTACAAATCAGCCTAGGAAGTTTTAGCTATTAAAGCTTAAAACTGCACTTTTGTCGCACATGTTGTATCAAAATCAGCCATGTGGTCACTTCTGCCCTAGGTTTTAGACAAATAAAAAGCCCCACCCAAGGCTGTGACCCAACCGCCTCTTGGTCGGCCATCTGGGAAGATTTCTTTTCTTTGTAACATTTGGCCTACAGTGCCAGGGGAGCTCACGTTTGTAGGTATATGTAAATTGAGTTGCATTTTAAGTGAACAATCTGTACCTTGGATCCTGTTTTATGGTTCTTCGTGTCTGGTACTTTACATCGGGTGGAGTGCATCCAGGAGTGTGCAGGTAAATGTTTGACAACTGGCTTTCTGAAGAAAAAAAATGTGTGTGACACACTTTTCAGTTTAATCTCCATTATCAACATTTTCTCCATCACTACTTAAGTCTAGACAATCAACAAAACAGTAAGTCAAGCCCTGATTTGTACCATTGTCCAAGATATCAGTGCTCATACTGAAAGTTTCACAATCAACTTTCCAGCTGATGTGAGCTAACTCCAGCACACCCTTGGGTACATATCAACTCATGCCCACTCATAAAAGGAGGGAAGAATCCGGAGATCTCCAAGGTTTCCAAGAACAACCAGTAAATACTAAACACAGTGTCACAAGATGATGAAGAGTAAACATAGAAGAAAGAGAGTAACAGTGTTTCTTATTTGGCATTTAGGGAGGTAATCAGGTGTATAAATTAGATGTGGACTGGTCACCTTAAAATATGCAGACTAAAGTTATTGTTCAGTCTTTTTTTAGTCATATCTAACCCTTCGTGACTCCATTTGGGGTTTTCTTGGCAAAGATACTGGTATGGTTTGCTATTTCCTTCTCTAGCTCATTTTACAGATATGGAAACTGAGGCAAGCAGGGTTAAGTGACTTGCCCAGAGTCACACAGCTAGTAAGTGTCTGAGGCCAGATTTGAACTCATAAATATGAATCTTCTTGATTCCCAGCTATCCACTGTAGCTCACCCTGTAGAATGTAAGCTCTTTGAGGGCCTAGCACAGAATAAGGCAATTAGTAAATGCTTGCTAAAGCTTCTAAACCTCCAAAGTCACTTCTTTGCTCTATACAAACCAAGAAATTTCCATCATTATTATTCTTGAATAGCTTTTTAAAAAATTCAACAATCTCTTAATGAGATTCATACAAGGGGGAAACTTTGAATAATTTTGGGTTTTAAAAAAATATTATTCCACCATTTCTAGTTAGTTTAGGAAAACTAATAGCAGGAATGTTTTTTACCTCTTTGACAAGCAGAGACATTCAGTAAGACAACAGCCATAAAACTGTAGTAGCCCACAGCAGAAAAAAAAATCTCAGAGGTTATCTTCTCCACCTCCTTCCCCAGAGCAAGAATTTCCTCTTTCAGCTGTTTGATGGATGGGAAGGAAGGCTGGACAGTTGTTGTGGGGAGGACTTTCCTAGCACTGGGTATTGTACAGTATATATTGATTTACTATTTTTAAAAACAAAAGATGACCTGGAAATGTTCTGATCAGATAGAAGTCCAGAGCACATTTACCTAGTTGGAGAGTTGGAATACGCAGACAAAAGAGAAATTGGTCTACTGAGACAATTCAGCTTTGCAGAAGCAGATGAGAATCTTAATATTCTTCTACAATCCTGTATCATAATGACAAAAGCACCGTCTCTAAGGGGAATAGGATGAGTGGAAAAGGGCTGGAGAGACCACTTTACCAGAGGCTGGACTAGTTAGCATTACATTAGTGTGGAAGTTGGAGGTGGAATAGACAGCACACACACACAAACATACACACATGTGTATGTGTATGTGTGTATATATTTGTATATATATATATATATATGTATGTATATATATGTATATATGTATATATGTATGTATATGTATATATATATATAAATATGTACATATAAAATTTTAAGGTTTACAAAGAGCTTTACAAATATTATCTCATTTGATCCTCACAAGAAGCCTCAGAGGTCGAGGCTATTATCCCCATTTTATAGATAAGGAAACTGAGGCAGAGGTTAAATGACTTGTCCAGGGTCACAGTCAGTCAAGTGTCTCATTATAAAATTTAAAATCAGGCCATCTTGAGTTCAGGCTTTATCGGCCACTAGCTGCAATTCAAGAGTGGGAGATGATCTTTTGACTCGTTGCTCAGTATTTACCAGCACCAGCACGAACTAGAACTATATGCAAAATCATGAAAAATGTAGATTTGTACCCCTCTTGGTAGTCTCATTGAAGGGCCCTGCTCAGCACCACATAAAGGCTAGTCATCCCTTGGTCACTAGCCCCTGCTCTAGTCTTCTCTCTTCTACTCTCCAATCTCCTATCAAATTTTATCTATTTTTTTCGTCACAAAAAAAGTTTCTTAGCTAAGACATTGAAAAGAACTTGAGAAACTAATTCAAAACATGCTGTTAACAGTTGATAGCTTAATTTAGTTCAGTTCAGTGATGGAGTGTTATCATTTTAACAGAGGTCAATTCCCTATCAAAAAAATGAACCTCTAACTGTGGAATGTCAGATATCAGGTCAACAAACATTTAACATTTGACACAGCCGCTGGGTATAGAGCATTCTAGGGTGCCTGGGAAGCTACTCTTCCTGGAGCTCACAGGCTGCTAGGTGAAGACTTTTGTGTACCCCTCAAATGACACCACATAGGTAATCAATCACCTACTATCTACATGACCTACCCAGTCAGTACCTTCAATATCCTACAGCCCGGAACAAAGCCTGGTCACTAAATTCTTAACCCAGGGCTTCTTTTTTTCCCTCCTGATTCTCCCTTGACTTTACACTAGTTTACACTAGTACCCTGCCTCTTTGGTCAGAGGGAACTCATTTGAGTTGGCATTTATTGCCAAGAAGTTGGAAGGTGTTGGACCTGGAGGAAGACAGTAGAGAAAAATGAGTTGAAGATTGTCTAAGCCAATAACTTTTCTCACCTCACCACAGGAACAGAAGGAGGGACGGCCTAGCTTGGACAAGACAATTAGACTAATTTCTTGTTATAAGGGATAGCTGGCTGGGGATGGGAGGGGAGAGGGATAGATTTAGAAATAAAGGTGATATAAAAACAAAAGGTTTCAACAAGGGACCTCACAGGTCCTTTTTAATTGTGAGAATTTCAATGATTACAAAGAGGAAAAATATATAGATCACATTTTCAATTGAAAGTAATCTTGGAAGTCATCAAGTTCAATAATGTCAACCTCAAATAGAAATAGGGGCCACTAACCTGCAAATATTGACTTCCAATTACATTCTAATCTGTTTCAGGCCCCATGGGAATATCGTAGGCTGTGTCTGACAGCTCTGATAGAGTTTGAGCTCATCATTTTGGGGCCCAGAAAGGTTCAGTGATCAATATCATACAAGTGATCATACAGGTGGCAGAACCAAGATTTGAAGCCAAGTCCTCTGGTGCCTTCCAGGCAGTAAGGTGGCTCGGTAGATAGAGTCAGGAAGACTCATCTTCATGAGTTCAAATCTGGCCTCTGACACTTACTAACTGCGTAACCCTGGGCAAGTCTCTTATCACCCTGTTTGCCTCAGTTTCCCCATCTGTAAAATGAACTGGAGAAGGGAATAGCACAAACACTTGACATTTATTAGCTGTGTAACCCTGGGCAAGTCACTTGACCCCAATTGCCTTTAAAAAAAAGAGAGAAGGGAACAGCAAACCACTCCAGTGTCTTTGCCAAGGAAAGCCCAAAATGGGGTCATAAAGAGTCAGACACGACTCCACAACTCAACACCACCTCTGGTTTCAACCTCTGGTGTAGTTCCCCAGACAGTACTTCCCAGGACAAACAATTCTACATTGATGTGAAACTTTAGACTTGAGAGAAACTACGTTGGTCTTTTATCTTTCACATGCATATGAGAAAGATATTTTTCTTAAGAAGATTCAGTGCCACCCAAGGTATTAATGTAATAATTGGGGAGGTACCTTTCTCAAGCTAGAGCTAGAATAAATTTGGGCGTGACTCTTCCTTAAAATAGGTGAAGAAATACGGAAGTCCTTCCAGCCCAGATTTCTGGGAATATTTCCATTTTCAAAAATCCCCACCCTCTTTTGCATTCAATTTTCATAAATAATTATGTATCCCATCACCCCAGCACGTGTTTATATATTCCACTGGTCTTTCATTGTCCTAAACCTAATCCAACTCCTCTCTTCCTCCCAGTATTTGGTACTGTCTGTAACTAAAATCACTGATTTCTTGGGTCTAGGTCATTACAAATCTCATGGATTCCCAACTAGTAACTGAAGCTTTTCATCCTTTGCAAATATTAGTCTAATTGCATGTTACTTAAGGCCAAAAATATGGGCTACATCTTGACTAAGGTAAAAAAAAAAATACATGACAAATAAGAAGGAATAGAAAGCAAAAAAGTTGTGGAGCCCCCTCCCCCCAAAAAGGAAGGTCCGATACAAATAAATGCATAGGAGAGCCAGGAATAGCTCAGAGGCTGGCCTACACCCAGTCTTTCACTGGGGAGAACCAATGTGCCCTACCACTGAATATTCCTCAGAACCCTTGCTGCTGGGGCTGCCAAGACCATGTCTAACCCAACTGGTAAATCAGTCCGCCATGAAGACTTTGAAGAAATGTTACAAAATACACAACACAGCTTATATAAATATTTTTGAAGATTTTACTGCAAACCAATTGCCCACACACAAAAAAAAATTGTGTGGTAGGGGAAAGGATTGTACATATTATAACCATGTTAATCACAGTACATTACAATGATGGTATACATTACATGTAAGTCTGTAAGTTTAAATATACAACTAAGTGTCATAACACATTGTACAGACCTTTTCTTTATACAATACATACAACAAAAACCATAAATAATGCCCATTTTACAGGTGACATTTTAAAACAAACAATGAAACAAACCAACAGCTTTGACCGACTGCAACTAGGGCATTGGTCCATAAAAACCCTTTCTAAAAATAGAAATATTTGTAGCAGCAATGCTTTCTTCAAGCATCTGGGTCCAAGTCATTGCAAGACCATTTTCAATAAATTTTAGTTATTAACTATTTATATATATATATATCTATATATATATATCTTACAAAAAAAAGTCTACACATAAATTTATCTTCCAAATATGGAAGAATCAAACAATGTCCCACATTGTAGTGTCCTGCAAGTGTCACATTGATGCTTATAACTAAATCCATCTGTAAGTAAGCATACCACACATATACATACCATTGTTCACATAGTAAACCCACAAAAGAGAAAAAAAGATTAAAAGTTGAAACACTCAAATAAGGAACAAAAAAAGCTTTGGAGCCAACAAGGACCTCATCAGATAAAAGGCACATTTCATAAAATCTATTACCATAGCCCATACAGATCTTCACAAGACTGCTTTCCCAACTCCATCTTCCTTCCTACAAAAACTACACACCTGCTATCCATGACAGCAATATCACACTTGTTTCAAAGAGATAGCACCACTTTGGAGGAGGAGAATAAGAAAACGAAAAGCTTGTGAGCTCACTGAAAGGAGAAGTTATGTGCTCTTCACAAAGCTTTCAGCCAACAGTGCAGTTGAAATTAGTTGCCAAGCTTCCAGAGATGTGCAAATTTTTTTTTTAAAGATGTCTGGTCAGCTGGCGGCTTGGCTGAAGGGCAAAATGAAATGAAACACACACACACACCAAACCATCTCAGAACTTCTCTCTCTCAAAACCAGTCCAAGAATGTTCAGAGGAAAGAATCCATAGGAGGTGCATAGGAGAAACCTAGGAAAGCTTCTGCTGCTTCCTTGACACTGGCAGTGATCAGGATGCTGTCCGGGGACTTGCCAATGGAGTTTGGAACAGGTTCTTCTGTAAACTCAGGATCAAAATGTCGAAGATCGCTGGGTCCACTCTAACAGAGGCAAAGAGAAACACACTGAGTTAGGTTTAGGGTAATGGAAGACCTAAGGGCTGGGTAAAGCCAATTCAAGCATTTGTTGGTAATTCAGGGCCTACTTCAGACACTTTAGGTATTTATTACACTGTCCTTGCTCATCTTGGACTTGGTAGTCCTGGGCACAAAGCCCAATTAGAATCTTCTAGGCAGCAGTGGAAAATAGAACCCGAGGACAAATCATGGCCCTTCCACTTAATACCCAAGATCTCTTTGGCAAGTCACTTCAAATTTCTGCACCCTAGTTTATCTTTTTTTTCCCCCTTTAAAGCAAGAGCTGGACTAAATGACCTCTAAAAATTCCTTCCAGTTCTACATCTATGATCATCTGTTTCAACTAATCATTTCTGAAATTAGCTCCAGGCAGATGGATTGTACTTAATATCCCTCCATATTTTAGAGATGATCACAATGCAGGTTTAAATGAAGCTGTTACTGCCTCTAGGGGCAGGTCAAGTGATCTGCCAAAGACACAAGGGCACTGCTTTTGTTCCAAAAACGTAAAGATATAGACTGTACACTTGACTATTTCGTCAGTTACTATGTGGTGAGGCATGTGAATGAAGATGGGGGAGGGAATGGACGGTGGAGAACAGCCACTTCCTTTGATCAAAGTTTATCTTATGTTCTAGTTACAAAAGCTCTTAAGACCTTCTGAGTCATACTGGTTCCCTCTGACCAAGCCCAGGCTAAAGAAAGAAATGCCCTTTGGGGGACCAACTATACTTAGAAGTGATACTCACCACATTTGGGTTAAAAGGGGGAGTAATCTTCTTATTAATGAGATCATCCCAGTTAATAAGGGAGAAGAAGATATGATTCTTAATCTCCATCTGTTGAAAAGAAACACAAGACTCATTTAGACAAGTCTAATTTAATAAAGGTGAGATGGTCTAGCACTTAGTGTTCTTCCCATGAACCTCGGGGCCCCCCCCTCCCCCGCAACCCCCACTAGGGCTGCAATATTTTTACTTACAAAGTCATCCTTGGCTCCAAGCCTTTTTGTCCTATCTTTCTGCAGTAGCCCCTCGAGAAGGTGTCTTGCAGAATTTGTAATATTTGGCTTCAATTGAAGTGGCTTGTTCAAAATGTTGTCATACATCTCAGCTGTGTTTCGACTGTAAAAAGGAGGCTTCAAGGGGAAAAAAAAAGGAATATGTTTAATTGAAAGTATAGTGAGGTTCAATATAATATTTAAAATATAGTGGGGTAGTAAAAATGTCTGTGAGCTTGATAACTTTATAAAAAATTTAAAAGCCATCTACTTGGGGGAGTGCTCAAGGAGAAGGATGTAGAGGGAAATTTTAGGCTATCTAAAACAAAAGCTCTGTTAAAAAAAATTAAGACAATCTATTCAAACATTGCAAAACACTGTGAAACACACAGCCAAGCTACCACTGTGTCATCAGCCTGTAGTGACCTTACTGATACAGGCAGAATATTCTTGGCTGACTGAAGTGTTTGCATAGATTAATTTAAGTAGAGCATTTGCCAGGGAATGGGAAAGGTGGGAAGAATAAGGTCTCTTTTCAAGGTCTTTCCTATTCTTTAATAGGCTACTTACCAGACCATACAGCATTTCATATAAGACAGCCCCGAGGCACCACCAGTCAACGGTTCTGTCATAAGGCTGCTTGTGAAGTACTTCAGGGGCAAGATACTGTTTAAAAAAAAAGACTCATTTTAAACTAAAGTCTTAGGAAACCCCCATAGAGAAGACTGTCTTCTAAGTGGAGAGTACTTTAAAAAAAGATAGGTATAAAATTTCTGTTTCTTTACTACCACCCCTGCCCCATGCAGCTATAATTTAGACTATGTGATTTCATTGACCCTTCCAGTGCCTCAGATGCACTTAATTTTACCAATATTCTCTTCTGAGCAAGAGAAGATTTTCTAATTCTCTCATGTTTATTCAGACATTAATCTCTCTCAGGTGTGCCATGAGTAGAATAAGAAAAACACCTGTGAGTATCTTCCCCTTTAATTTGACCTTTCTCTTCAGGAAGAAGGGTCCAAGAGGCTGTAAACTCAGGCTGTAAAAACCTACCTCAGGGGTGCCGCAGAAGGTGGATGTTGTGCCATTGTGCTCAATGTTTTCTTTACATAGTCCAAAGTCTGTCAGGACAATGTGCCCTTGTGAATCTAGCAAAATATTCTCTGGCTTTAAGTCTCTAAAGAACAAAAGATGGAAAGGAAAACATATACTTTAGTTTTGCTTTACAATCAAATCATATGGTATTTAGAATTCATAATAATTTTGAAAACAAGCAAAATATACATGCACACTTTATAAGTTCCCAGGACAGTACACAGCCCCCCATAATTGAGAAGTTAAAATGGAAGGTCCTGGGGGCCTCACTACAGGTATGTATTATATAAAGGCCAGCTATTACTTACATCCATAGTACAATCTATGTTTAAGTCAGAACATGTAGCATGAGCATAAAATGGATATTGCTTACCTATAAACAATATTCAGAGAGTGCAGGTAACCCAGTGCACTGGCAATTTCAGCAGCATAAAACCGGGCTCGGGGCTCCAGGAAGCATCGCTCTCTCTGGAGATGGTAAAACAACTGCAGGAGACAGACAGAACACAGTTAGGCGCCTGCTGACAAAGCCTGTTAACAATGCATTTAATCAGATTTGACATCTATGGCCAAGGAGGACAATAGCAGGAAGTGTCCTAATGATCCACTAGTGATTTGAAACCTGCCAGGTTGGAGGGGGATACTAATCCTGGTTAACTTCTCCCTTCAACTGTCTTAAAAATTCTCCCCTAAATGAAATGAGACCATATATGCAAACTCTTCTCTCTTTCCAAAGGAGATTTCTTTTCTGCTCACCTCTCCACCATTGATGTAGTCTAGGACAAAGTAGAGTTTATCTGCAGTCTGGAAGGAGAAGTGTAGTCCAACCAGGAAAGGGTGTTTGACATTTTTCAGAAGGACATTACGCTCTGACATGATGTGTTTCTCCTAGAAAAAGGATAACAGATTTAATGGTGACGTTTTTGAATGTATAAAGAATGTCATTAGTATATGCTGCCACATCTTCCCTCTGGAAAAAATAAAAAAAGTTGACTGTACCTCCTTCTTTTTCAGGATTGCTTTTTTCTGTAGAACTTTGACAGCATAGAATTGCTCCTCTGCCTTGTGTCTTGCAAGAAGAACCTGAAATTAGAAAGTAGAAAGGTTTGTACCCTGGTTTAAAGCAACCTTCCCCACACACACACACAAAGAAAAAGGGCCATCACTGATGTAGATAGGCAAAATTTACCTTCCCAAAACTGCCTTTTCCAATTACTTTCAAGAAATGAAAGTCTGATGGTTTTGCATGGGGATTGGATGATGGGCCAAGGTTGATCTGCTGAGATGGACTGGGCTGGGGAAAAAACAAAAGAAGAAAACTCAATACATGTTTGATATGTCTTTTGAACATTCTACTCTTTAAAACAAAAATAATTTGTGAGGGAAGGATGCAGTCAGCAAAATTAAACTATGTCAGTGTGACCAGAAAGTTAAGCTTAATCAAAAGTCCTTATGAATCTACCCAAAGAAAATTTCAGCAAAGGTACACAGGGACTTTTGGTGAACCAAGTTTAAAATGCCTCAGTTTTTTTTCTTAAGTCCACAGACTCAATACCAGCACTGTGTTATGGGATGAACTAATGAGGCATTCTTGTTTCTAGGCTAATTTCCAGAAATGCTATTTTTAAACATTGATGTAGGAGGACTCCTAAGTCATTTACAATCTTCTTTAGAAGATGCATCATAAATAAAAAATACTTACTGGAGGAGAAGGATTGGCATTCATAAGCTCAGGCTCTTGAGGTTGAGAAATTTTCAAAATAGATTGAACTTCAGAACTGCAGAGGTCAAAGGCAAAAAAAAAGTTAGAAGTTTGCCGCTAGGGGGCACGCTTTATTCACGAATGTTAATGGTTTAGTATTTTTTTTTTCTCATTATTAAATAACTTCAAATGGAAAATTACCCAACTACATTTCCAGATTTAAAAGAGTAAATTCTTTAATTAATTATATTAGATGCTTGGCATAGTGATAACTTCTGAATTATATAGTTGTTAAAATTTAATCCCAAACCTTGGAGTACTGAAAATAAACTACTTTTAAATAACTTAGAATTAAAACGAACAAAAATCCTTCCTTTTCCAGGAAGTCTGTTTTCAAAGGACTTCAGTTTTTTTCCTACTAATCTCAGAAAACTTAAGTACAGCCACATTAAGTTTTATTTCTCCAAACTGCAAATACTTACTGTTTGCAGGCATATGAGTTGCTAGCAATCTTCTGAATAAAATCATTCAGTCCCATCCTTCTCTGTTTCATGAAAGCTGCAAAATAAGAAAAAATAACATTTAAACGAGATTAAAAAACACACAGTACGGGATTCTTTAAAAAAAAACACACACACACATAATTAATGCTCATCAAACCTAGATTAAAACTAAACTCGTTTCCCAACACTCACCAATAAGGATTGCTACCATGCCCCTCATCCTTGAGTAAGTGAGCGTAGCTCCTGAAGCCTCGGTTTTCACCGTCATCTCGGCTCGCAGGAAAGGAGCAAAGGAATCAGCTGCTGAATGAGTAAGTCCAAAGCTGCGTACCCAAGCCTAGCTTTAAGCACCACTCAAAGTGCTTCTGCGGAGCTTCCTCCCCAGAGGCTCTTATATAGACAGCGCCACCCGGGAAGGGGCGGAGCCACCAGGAACAATGAGGGCGAGGCCAAGCTTCCAGCCTCCGCTCAGCTCCCTAGGCGGGCGAGCGCAGCAGTGCCTAGTGCGTCCAGCTGGCGCCCGGCCCTAAGTCTTTTTAGTCTGTCCCCTCCCCCTCGTCGGGTCATCTCCCGGGGCGCGAGGCAAGAGGGGCTAGGCTGTAGAAGCTGCTGATAGTGCAGCAGCCACGGCAGCGTGCAGAATCAGAAAGGGAGTGAGACTCTCGCGAAAGGCGCAGGGTGGCAGGCAGCTGCGAGCAGAACCAGAACCGGGAAAGAGAGGGAGACGCTCAGGGTTTTGTAAAAGCTCAAGGATACTGCCCGGAGGGCACAACTGTACCAGCTAGCTAGGCTTATCTGCACCGAATCTGCTCCCCCCCAGGCAGACAAGGGGAAACCGGACAGCAGGGAAGGGGTGGGGGAAGAAGAGGAGGGCTGGACTGGGGTAATTTTCCACCTTTCATTTATTCCACTAGCTCCAAAAGGAAATCAAAGTTGATGCACCAGAGGCACTTTAAACTCGCGAAGTGGTAGTTAGCTGAGGTTTTATTCATGAAGCCTCATTTTTTTTCCAGCTCAATTCAAATTCTCCAGCAACTTCTGTATTGCTACAGGAAATGCTGGAGACCCTACCCTTTCTCACATTATTACTGTGTACACACACACACACACACACCACACACACACACACACACAGAGAGATCTGTGCCATTGGAGATTGGGGCTCGAACAGCCTGGCAAAGTGGATTTACAGCCGAATTTAGAATCAAGAAGGTATGAATTTAACTCCTACCCCTGACACCTATAATCATAAATTATACCAGAGAAGCCAGTTACTTAAACTGTTTTCCCAAGCAACTGGGTCCAAACTGCAGACTAGTTGCTGATCAGCAACGCATAGAAAGGGATTTCCACACCAGAAATACCCACACTGAGGAAACCACAAGTCCATACTAAAAATAAAGACTGGGAGGCAGAGAGTTAAATGCATTTTCGGAGTCTCTCCCCCAACCCCCTCTTTGCCTAACCCTTAGGTCAACACCTAAAATGGTATTCTCCGCCCCACACTTCAGGACGGGAGCCGGGTCAGGAAGGCACCAAGGCGTTAGATTTTAGCCAAATGCCTGCATGGACCCGTTCCTTCTTGCCCAGGTATTGGTCCCTAGCAAGGACTCTCTCTCCCCAGTTTCGTCAGCAGAGAAGCAACTAGTGGGCAAAGAAAGAAAAAAGACAAGCTGGAGCCCCAACCCCAGTCGCGGGCAGTGGGTCCCTTACCAAGTCCGGTCAGCAGAAAGGACTCGCTCCTTTTCTGAGCCTCAGTTCTCTTTTTGTGGCGAGGCTTAAGCAACGACTCTAGCCGGGCCCTGGTCAGTGCCCCCTGCATCTCTCCCATGGATCCTCCTGCCCCCGGCGGGCTCAATACTAACCACTCTGGTTCCCTGGCTGGCAGAAACAGCTGCAACAACAGCAGCGGCGGCGGCAGCAAAGAACAGCAGCCCGCTCGGCGCACAGCAGCCCCAAGTGATAAGCAAACTCTGACGTTTCCTTGAAGGAGCCGCCGTGACTCAGGCAGAGCAAAATTTCCTGCCCCAAGTCCCAAAACAAACAAATGGCCCTTGTGCGCCCGCACAGCCCCTGCCCGAGTCGGCTTCCGAAAACGCCTTTTTTGTGCTTTGGGCCAAACCCAGGACTGAAAAATCCCAGAACTTGGAAGAGGAGGAAGGGAGGAAGGAAGGAAAGAAAGGAGGAAGGGGGAGGGAGAGGTCAGGAATGTGTAGGGGAGGGGGCGGAAATAAAATTCAAGTCTGCAGAGAAAAAAAAGCACAATCTGCATTTCACTCTCCCCTCCCCCAGCCAGTAGCTACCGGGAACATTCTGTCCGTTAGCATATCATTTCTTGCTTTTTTTTTTAATTGCTGACCATGCCAAGGACACGTGAAGAGGTGGCATATTATAAAAGATGTGGGCATTTGAGGCTATCTATCGTAACCCTCCCTGAGATCTCCAGGCCAATCAGGGCACGCGAGTTAAAAATCGACGTCCCTGCTTTTATGTACTCTAAAGCACCCTACTGTAAAATCAAGACCGTAGGAACCAAACTTGCTCGGTATTACTTACCTCACCACTACCCCTACCACTGTGCCCTACACTCCTTTGAGAGCAGGGGCAGGTGTTTTCTTATTACTTTACAACCTTTTTCTTCATTTCTAAGGTCTCCTTTATCAGAAGAGTGCTCAATGCATATTAATAGATGGGCTGGATGGCTTACTCCCTCTCATCTTGGAGGGGGAGGGTAGGAGAAAGGTGCACTAGGGAAATTCAGTATCTCTGCAAAGCGCAGATGCTGCGGGCTTGCCTGCCACTAACCTGTTAAGATTTAGGAATGGTTTGTAAGCAACCTAAGCACCAGGTGAATGGAAAAAACCAGCCAGCACACTGGTTGGCCACTGGGAAAACATGAGGCAAGCAGAAGAGAAAAAAAAGCATATAAAAAATGCTAATGATCTTATGCTTCCATGCTATCTGTTTGATGGATAGCTTGTAGGTCCAGGCTGGAGAGACTGCCTGCAGTGACCCCTCCACTCCAAGCTAATTTTGAATTGTATGCAGGGCTTGACACGCTCCTAAAGATCAGCTGTCAAATCAGGAATAGAAGGTTAAGAGAGGTTTGGGTCTTTTCCCCCTGGCCTTTTCCCCTTTTCCCTGTGCTGAGAAGAATTTTTCTTTGCACCTCAGGTGGTCCTAATATGATATCCAGTTTGGTCTCTAAATAAGTGTCAACTTCATTAAAATAAGAGGGGAAGGAGAGTGGAGAGTCACCTGAATTTAGCACTCCTGGAAACTCAGGCTAGGAAAATGAACTCAATCTGCCCTTTGAAAACAAGCAACAACAATAAAAAGATACCCATTGCCTGAAATGTACGTTTCAACAAGCAGTCACTCCAAATAAACCCGACAGCACTGTGTTTACAGAACTCGAATCACCGCACCTTTTGGTGTTTGTTTGGCTTTTTCGCACTTTTAAACCGCTTAAGCTTCTGTACTTCAACACCCAAAGTCTGTCTTTCCTTCCCCCTCCACCTAATCAACCAGCATTCAACATGCCCAGCTCCACCTCCACTTATTGTCATACTCCAAAGAGCGAATTTTGTGTTAGCCTCTTTCAAATAGCAACCTGTTCTTTTGTCTTTAATAAAAAAAAATACTTTTGTTACCTCCAAGGAACTTTTCCCCTACATGTTTCCTCCTACAATGCTTTTACTTCCCCACTCCCATCAACAACCAGTAAAACCCTCCAGATAACCAACCATAGGGAAAAGGGCTTTCTTCTCCCAGAAGCAAAGGGAGAGGGCCCACACCAAAGTTAGAGTAAGAAAAGCAGACCAACCTTTTAAAGATTTTACTGTTTCATCTTTCATTCTTTTCCAGGAACCTGAATGTAAGGGGGATGAGGGATTTGTTTTCTGGTGGTCTGGGATCAAGCTTCTGTAGTGGACTGAGAAGCCTCCTTCCTCCAGTCTTCTATGGCTCTAGAGCCACAGGAAAAAGCGCAACTCAGTCTTTGCCCAGTTTATGAACCCCATATTTAAAGTAATTTGCATATGGGAGAAGGAACAGGCTGCAAAGTTCAACACTGGGCCATTCCTCCTACCCTCCCCCCCCACTGTAACATCACCCTGAAAATCAGAGTCATTGCTGTACCAGGTTTATTACACTTCTGCAAAACACGCAAGACATGTCACTCCTTGATTCCGATTACCATCACAAATAAGCCTAGAAAGAATTCAAAACACAGGCACATAGTGCATTCACTGTTCTCTCAAAGGATCACTGTGGGGTGTGTGTGTGTGTGTGTGTGTGTGTGTGTGTGTGTGTGTGTGTGTGTGTGTGTGTGTGTGTGTGATGCTGAGGACGATGGATGAGGGTTGGAGATGGGGGGGGCTTTAAAGTACTTTCAGGACATGCTGGCAGGTGAGGGGGAGGGGACGCACAGGCTATTTGTGGTTGGGGCAGAAAAGGAAAGTTTGATGGATTTGTCCCCTGCCTCACTCCCCTTTTAAAGTTCCGAAGCTGGAGACGGATGGGCTGGCAGCACTTATCTTTTAACAGAGGGAGTCCAAGTTGTTAAGACTGGCTTTTCTTCCAGCCGGATACCTGAGGGGTGGAGCAGGCGCCCCCAGTCCTGTCCCGGCAACCTACTAAACCCTTCCGAACAGGAAAATGACAGATGCCTAATGGCTGGAGTTGCTAGTGCTAAGGGTGTGTGTGTGTGTGTGTGGTGGGGGCTGGGGGGTTGGCGGTGGATGGGGGTGGGGAGGAAGCTGCATGAATCTCGTGTGCACGCGTGTGTCTATTGTATAGACTTTGGGTTGGTTTTGCATCTGTAGTTTACATGCTAAACTTCCCTCCTCTGTCCCAGTCCTTTCCTCCAAATAGAACCTCATTGTAAGACTAGGAAGTAGCTCTTTTCCTTTTACTCCTTCCGAGAAATGACTGGTTTTGATTCAACCAACTGCATTTGTTAAATTAATCCTAGAGGGCGCTGGTACTCTTTAAGGAAGGGCAGTAGCTCTTTCTAGATGCCCTGATTGTTCTGTGTTACTTTCCCCACCTCTTCCCAATGTAGTCATTTCCAGAGTGTCCCTCACGCTACACTTTCTGGCCAGGAGAGAAAATAGGCAGTGTTTTTAAAGAACGCCTTGTGTCTGCCTCACATGTACCATCCCTATCCTTTTACCCTCTGGATAAAAATCAGCCTCCTCTTTGTACCTGAATGTTGTACAAGTGAATTCAGAAATCCAAAATGATAACGATCTGCCACTGAATAAAGTTAGTTTAAATGCATAGGGGAAAGCCTGTTCCAATTGTGTTTTTGCTAACTTAGAGATTTTTTTTGTCCCTATTGCAAACACAATTTATTTTCCCTCAAAATAAAGGACAAAACTTTTTCGACATAACTTTGTAGGCTGTAAATCCTAGGTTCCACATTCAATCAATAAGCTCTTATTAAGTCCTTACTCCTTGGTAGACTAGATGCTAAATACTGGGGATACCAAAACAAAAGAGAGACAGTCCCTGACTTTAAATTCTACTGGAGGATAAAACATATTCATAGATAAGTAAAGAGAAAATATATACAAATTAAATAATAAGTGATGAGGGAGGGAATGATGCCAACAACTGGGAAATCGGGAAGTCCCAAATTAAATTGTAAACTCCATGAGGTCAGGGCCAATGCTTTATACACCTTTTGTATTCCTTCAAAACTCTCTCATCAATTGAAATTCTTTTTAATAGCCACAACCAAAAAAAAAAATGTGCCAACCAATAAGCAGAGACATAAATAGGAGTTCTTGTGCCCAGGGTAAATATAGTTGGGGCACACTTGTAAAGGACAGTCCCTGGCTGCTTCAGGCAACCTCTCCTCAACACAGTCTAGTCCAGATCCCTGGGATAAGGCAATAGGGAGATGGTAGTAGTGTGTTGGTCACTGTGAGAGGGGTGGGATACTTAGGGTAGGAATTAAGAAATATTAGGGAGGTATGGGAAGGATCCACTGGGGGGGGGCCGCTGGCAGAGGTGTTATACTTCCCAGTAAGGCTCTGCCAAAGAGATGTCATTGTGGCAAAAAGTGAATAAATGAACTCCATGCCTTCTCAAAGAATTCACTTTGTCCTAGAAATTTGCCACCTTGTTCAGGACACAGAAGTGGGTAATAAGGGCTTAACCCCATTCCTTTGGAAGCATTCCAGGGCCCAACCTCTGTAGATATAATCAGTATAGTTCATATTAAAGCATGTTAACAAATCAGTTTATCCAGTACAACTAAGGAAAAGTCAGTAGCAAAGAAGATATGGTTAAGTAAAAATCTTTAGAATATTTAAGTGCTGTACTGATTATTATTATACATTTATACTATTATAGAAAGAAACAATGATTAAAAATAGAATGTGGCAATTAACTTGAGGAAGAACATATATGGCTAAATTATTAAAATGCACAAAAATGCATTATTTCTAATATGTGAGAGTTTAAGATCACAAAAGATTCCATGTTAAATATAACCCCAGATATACCTTAGATTTCAATCAAGGTATAAACCAAGGAAATGTATGCTTGCCAAAGGTGTTTGCCACTCAAGGAGAATGCACTTTGTACACAAGTTCAAATATAAGAGGGATTCTCTGTGGATGGTGAATACCTCTAGATGCTTCGGTTGGTAGATAACATTGTCCTATCCGCATTAAACCCCATGACTCTATAGAGCTTCTTTAGAGAGATCCACAATGGCTAAAAAGGAATTGGCTTTTCAATCCACAAGAGAAAAATCAAATGGATGAAGAATGACTGTTATCTGGGCTATAACATGCAGTGAAATGAACAGCCCATTGAGTTAGTCCACTAATCTTGGATAGGCAGTAAAGACAGACAATGAACAGGGTCCAAAATTGAAAAGGAAAAAGATAGCTGGCTGGTGTACACTTGGAAAACTGGATAGTGCTTCCAAAGATCCCAAATTATTTCCTGACACATGCAAAAAAAAAAGTCTTTTCCACCAATATTCTTCTAATGATATAACTGTATGGCTACAAATTGTAGAATATCAGAATGTCTAAAGAATTAAAATAACAGGTGACCCAAAGGGCAATGGACAAACACCTGGTAGGCATATGTAGGCTACAGTGTGTT